TTATTAGTAAAATGAGAATCTTTATATTATTATACTCCAACTTGCTAATATTAATTTTGTAGCAAAATTGTGTTTAAAATGTCATTCCTTAACAAGTGTGTGACGTTGCTTCTAATGCATAGAGTTGATAAGTGTCAAAAATATTTAAATTATATGAGTATTTATTAATTTATTTTGTAAGTAATCAATGAAAATATCTTCAGTTTATCAATAAAATATGAGAAAACATATTCATTAAGTGTATGTAAAAAGAGGCAAGAAAACACAAAACCCATCAAAAAGCACTAAAGCTCGCTAAGGAAAGACAAGGACTAGCTAAGCGAGCTATGTTGGTTCAATATTTCTTCAAGGTCAAGTTATTTTACATTGAAGCAAGGCAGTTCAAATATTACTTCAAGGCCAGATTACATTAAGGCTAAGTTATTTCGCGAGGAAGCAATGCTTAGCTCGCTAGGTGAAGTGGCAAACTTCCTAGGCGGGGCTATGGTCGTTCATTAATGCCTGACTAAGTTACTTCAAAGATAATAAAGGGTTTTCTCACTAGGAGAGCTTGAGGCGCACTAAGCGAGTTCTGAACTTCTCTTAGTGAAAATGATAGGCTTTGAATCTATAAATATGGTCTCAAGTAGTTCGTTTGAAAATAACTTGGTCAAATCAAGTAGTTTTCTAGCTAAGAAGTGAGAAAAATCCATTGTGAACCTGAAACACAACAGGAGAGGAAATGAGAGGAAGGTCGATGGCAGAAGTGTTGTGCGAGGAATCAATAACATTTGATTTTCAACATCTTTTTTCTAGGGCTTAATTGCAAATCTATTATGAGTAAGTGTAACTAATTTTCTTTTGTTAGGTTTAGATATAGTCGTACTAATGCTCGTGTATCGATTCTGATCCCGGTGTTCTCTGTAATTCTTCTTAAGCTTTAATATTGACGAGTTCTTTGTTCTTAATGCTTGATTAATATTAGTTACCTAAAACGAGTTTTCATAATATGACTCGATATTAGAAAGGTATAGTCATTACTAGATCCAAGCTTTTTCTATTGAATATGATAAAGTGTAGACATAACTTAGGTCCAATAATTATATGAACTATTCAAGTCTAATGTTATTGTATTAGTTAATAAGTTGAGAGATCGTCTATTAGGTAATATGATTGATCTCATGTTATTGACTTAGACACGAGTTGTGATAAGAGCGAGGAGCGGTAATATTAACAAATTATTAGAATTGCATATTAATGATCAAGGATATTACTTGTAAATAGGTCGATGAAATATAACTCTAGCAAGTTTTCTCAACAGTTAAACATCAAATTTATTTTACCTTTTTTTTTACTTTCCATAATCATAAACATTCAAACATTTAATAAACCATTCTTGAAATCATAGAAACTATTGAATAGTCATTGAAACACAATCATTTTATGTGGAGACGATAAAAGTCGCACTTGCAATTCTGTGCTACAATAAAATAACTTAGTTGCCAGAGACTCAGGTTAGTTTTTAAAGACAATGTGATAGTTTTTATAATTTTAAGTATTCTATTTATATGTGTTTATATTTCTATATGACTATAATTATTTAAACTAACAAAACACTATCAAAGCTTTCACAAAGAAATGCAGGAGGTACATACGCACTAGAAAATCTATTATTTTGACAGTTGCAGTAGAAATCATATCACACAACATTTCCCTTCACCATATGAGAAAATAAACTTCTTGAAAAACCAATGAAGATCATGGAAATATCAAAGCAACGAAAAATCAAACTAATAAGGAACCTTAATATAGACTTCGAACTAATAAAACATTAAACAGATGTTTATCGGGAGACAATTCAATTTTCCTACTTTAATTTCTTTTGTGAAAATTTTATTTTCTGAATTTAAACATAAAGAAATAGGTTTTGTGCATTTGCAGATATTTTTCTACACAAGAAGATTTCCCTACTAGGCAAAGATTTCACTAACAAGGCTTGCTTAGAAAAATGTTATTTTCACTAAGCGAAAATTCCAGGTCCAAGTTGCAAATTTTTTATTCAAATCCCCATTTTCATATGATGATAGCTTGAGGACATGCTAAGATTTTTTTATTCAAATCCCCATTTTCATGTGATGATAGCTTTGAGGACATGTTAAAATTTTCAGGAGGGGATGGATGCTACGACTAAAGCTCGCCAAAAATCTATGATATTTACTTTGTTATTTATTTTTAGTTAATTCTTTAACTAAACATGATCAAGTTTCTACATACATGGGTGTTTTTGGATCAAAGATTAAAATATTTGTGATTTTGCTTGAATTGTTTGCCTATTGCAATTCAATTTCAAATGATTTAATGGTTTAAACAGTCAGATGCATAAGATTTATGAAAAAATCAGAGCGAAAGGCATGGTGGAAAATGTTATTTTCTTTAAATGTTTCATTCAAGGTTAATTTTCATGATTATCTAAACATGTTTGTTTGCTTGATTAAAGTTAGATTTCACTTGTTTTGTGAAACCATGATTATTTGAATTAGAATTATACACAACCTAACTTACGAATTGTGTACAATCTCGTATTTTACATAGATATAGTGAATGTAGAAATTACATATAACCAGCGGCGGAGCGAAGATCCTGGACTAGGGGTGCAAGATTTTTTTATAATATTTGGACGAAATATAATATTTTTTACTTTATATATATATACTATAATTTTTTTGTGCGGTAATATTAACAAATTATTAGAATTACATATTAATGATCAAGCATGTTAGTTATGAATAGGTCGATGAAAGTTTTTTCAACACTTAAACACAAAAGTTTATTTTACTTTTTTTTTCTTTTCATATTCACAAACATTCAAATATTTAATAAACTATTCTTGAAGTCATAGTCATTAAAACACAATCATTCCATGTGGAGATTGTAAAAATCGTACTTACACTTCTGTGCTACCATAAAATGGACGCAGTTGCCAGAGACTCACGGTATTTTTTAAAGATAATGTGATAATTTTTATAATTTTAAATATTCTTTTTATATGTGTTTATAAATCTATATGACTATAATTATTTAAACTAACAAAACACTTTTAAGGCTTTCACAAAGAAATACAGGAAGTACCTACACATTAGAAAATCTATTATTTTGACAGTTGCACTAGAAATCATATCACACGATATTTCCCTCTACCAAATGAGATGAAGATCATGAAAATATCAAAGCAACGAAAAAGAAAATAATTCGTCAATAGAACACAACCATATCAGAAATTTCCTCAAAACAGTACATCAAAACTAGAGGATACATTAAATTAGTACACAAAGTTGTCTATAAAAAAACACTATAATCCTCCTCAACATGAGAGTACATCTATATATGAGGAGACACAAAATCATCTCCTAAGTGTGGATAGAAAGAAGGAAATAATATATATTAAGGAATCTTAATATAGACTTCGAGCTAATAACGTTAAATAGATGTTTATTGGGAGACATCCCAATTTTTCTACTTTAAATTTCTTTGGTGAAAATTTTATTTTCTGAATTTAAACACAAAGAAATAGGTTTTGTCATTTGCAGATATATTTCTACAAAAGAAAATTTCCCTAGTAAGCGAAGATTTCACTAACAAGGCTTGCCTAGAAAAATATTATCATTCTGTTGCGTCTCTTTGTTGCCCTCTCAGACCACCACCATTCATCCACTTGATTTTATCATTCTGTTTTTCTTTCATATTCATTGTTGTAATGTGGGGTTGTTGTTGGTTATTTTTAATTTTTTAAGCAAATGGTGTTTGCTGGACATTTGTAAATGTTTGTATAAGTAATTGATAAACGTACTTATGAGTCTTGAACTTGTTCATATAATATGTGCTGTTTTTTTTTTTTATAATAAGAGGAGTGTTTCTTTTTAGTATCTCTTTAATTTTTTTTTTCATATTACGTTTGTAAACTTAAACTTAAAATACACACGGGGTTGTTTCAAATAGGAATCGTAAAATAAAATAAAGACGTTTAAATTGTAAAAATAGATGATATAACATTAAAATAGTTGAAAATGAATCAATTCAAACATACATTATTATTGTTTGACTCATTTCGCTCGTTCCACTACTAAAAAAAAGACATTTGAGAAAAGGTTTTTACATCGGGTATCAAAATATATGATGTAAAAAATACAATTAACAAACTTTTTACATCAGGTATTTATTTGCAATAATATAAAAAATATGAAAAAAAATATATTTCGCTACCTATTACATCGGGCAAACGCATCCACCGATGTAAAAAGTTTTCAAAAAAAATATGGTGGCATTTTTGTAAATAAGAAACAAGGTAGTAGAAATATTAATAAAAAACATGCAACATATTACATCGGTTGACTAAAAACCGATGTAATATCTTCACAACAGATATTAATATAAAAAATAAATTAAAGAATAAATTAATTTTTTCGCAACTTATTACATCGGTGGAAGTTTAAACCGATGTAAAAAAGTCAGAAAAAAAGCTTGCATCGGGTATTACGATGCACCGATGTAATAGGTGCAAAACCCTTACATCGGTTGTAAGGATACACCGATGTAATAGGTTGTCCATTAAGCCAACCCTTACATCGGTTATGCATTTCCACCGAGGTAATAGCTTCCAAACCCTTATTTTCCCAAATTTCATTATTGTAACGTAAATTGAAATGAAATACCAACAATTCATGTTAGACATTGTATCACATTAATTAATAATTAAAATAACCAAATGAACATGGAATATAAAGAAATTGGGTACCTGTGAAACAAAACCAAACGAATAGTCCTTTTCTATGTCTTCAATTCTTGGGACCAATGTTAGGCCAACACGTGGTGATGGAAAGAAAAATAAAAATAAAAATAATACTACCTGATATAACACCGAACAGGGATAAGGTTTCACCATCTCTTTCACTTCCTCTACTCCCTTTTCTTTGTCTCCATTTTCTTTTCAAAAAAAATCAAAGAAAAAAAACAACACTTTCAACATGATACCGACAAAAAGAAATTACTGGAACGAAACTTGGATGGTGATGGATGTCAACAGATTTCCGGTGATTCATAGTTGGACGATGCTGGTCGATGGAAGGGCTTATGAGGTCGCGATTGGCGTCGCGTTGTTGCAGCGGGGATGCAAATCGGAGGGAGGCGGATCTGGTGGGTATGTGCGACCGGGTGAGCTCACGGTTGGGCTGAGCACGACGAGCTGGGTCATCGTTGGAGGGAGCTTCGCGGTGGAGGGATTTGAGCAGTAGCTTGGTGGATTCGTTGCAAGGCTGGGTGGAGATAGTTGTTTTCATTGAAATCTCGCGGCGGGATATACACTGAGAGGGGAAGATCTCAGAGTTGTGTTGCGGGTGGTTTGAGGCGGCTGTTGTTTCTACTGGTTACCTATCTTACCACTAAACTACACGAAGGAAACGTCTCTGCTGCGAGAAATGTTGGTGTCTGGAAAGGAACTTGTTATCTTACACCTCTCATTGGAGCTGTTCTTGCTGATAGTTACTGGGGAAGATACTGGACAATTGTTGTTTTCTCTATGATTTATTTCCTTGTAATGCACTTAAAATACATATCTTTTCCTAGTCATAAATAATTGTCTCTAGGCTTTTTATTATGTGATACTGATATGGTTGTATCTTGTAGGGGATGTCCATCTTGACTATTTCTGCATCTGTTCCATCATTGAAGCCAATCAAGTGTGTAGATTCGGTGTGCCCTCCTGCTAGTCCTTTGCAATATTATTTATTCTACTTTGGTCTCTATGTAGTTGCACTTGGGACCGGTGGTGTAAAATCATGTGTGTCGCCTTTTGGGGCAGATCAGTTTGATGAAACTGATTCTGTGGGAAGTATCAAGAAGGCTTCCTTTTTCAACTGGTATTACTTTTCCATCATGATAGGCGCCATTGTGTCATGCACCTTCATTGTGTGGGTTCAAGATAATTTAGGATGGGGTCTTGGATTTGGCATTCCGGCTTTATTCATGGGGTTATCCGTTGGAAGTTTCTTTTTAGGTACCTCTCTATACAGGTTTCAAAAACCAAAGGGTAGTCCTCTTACAGGTATGTTCCAGGTTTTGTTAGCATCTGTCCGAAAGCGGAATTTGGTTGTGCCGGAGGATAGTAGTCTCCTGTATGAGACGCCTGACAAGCAATCAGGAGTTGAAGGAAGTCGCAAACTGATGCATCATGATGATCTGAGGTAACATTTTCTTGTTGAATATGTTACTGCACGTATAAATTGTCTGCAAAATTATGAAGTTTTGACATTTTTAATGTTTTTATGTAATTACTAATACTAATAGTACTAATATTATTGTTGTTAATAATGACTGAAGGATGTACCTTATAAAACTATTTTTTTTTTTGTGTTTAAATAAAGGTATTTTGATAGAGCAGCTGTAGTGTCTGACTCAGAGAACAGAAGCGGTGAATATTCTAATCCATGGAGGCTTTGCACCGTGACACAAGTGGAAGAATTGAAAATCTTGATTCGCATGCTTCCAATCTGGGCTACTGGCATAATATTTTCTGCTGTCTACGCTCAGATGTCAACATTGTTTGTGGAGCAAGGAACTATGATAAACACATATATTGGTTCCTTCAAATTATTGTATCAGAGAGTTATTAGTAAAAACTGATGTAAAAACTTTCAAATAGGGACTTTTTACATCGGTTGGGATAATAACCGATGTAAAAAGTCGCGTCACTGGGGACGTTTTACATCAGGTATTACTTCCAACCGATGTAAAAAACTGGATCAATTTTTTTAAAAAATGTGCATAATAATTGTTTCTTACATCGGTTCATATATTATAACCGATGTAAAAAAGGGACTTTTTACATCGGGTATTACTTCCAACCGATGTAAAAAACTGGATCAATTTTTTAAAAAATGTGCATAATAACAGTTTATTACATCGGTTCTTATATTATAACCGATGTAAAAAAGGGACTTTTTACATCGGTCCCAGAACCGATGTAAAAAGTCCCTGATTTACTATATCGCCTGACTTTACATCGGACCCAGAACCGATGTAAAAAGTCAGTTTCACCCGATGTAAAAAGTCATTTCTGCACTAGTGTTCGTTTGGGTATTCTAAGTGACTAGCGTGTAGGAATGTGAAAGTTTGAACTCTTTACACTATGCACTAAGTGTTTTATCTATAATACATGAAAATAACTACTTTTCAGTGGGTCTCGCTTCTTTATGAGCCACGTGTCTCTTGTAACTTCCCTCCATGAACCCACGTTATCCATTCACAAGGCTTTGTTTTGCTAGTTATGCCCTCTTTTAGGCTTTTTAACACTCTAGGGCCCAATCCGTTCCTCATGAGGTCTCTTTTCTGGTCGACTGCGTCCACAAGCCCAAATTGGCCTTTTATGAAACCTCTTCCAGTCGACTGCGTCTGTGGTCGATTTCCTATAATTCAAAGTCTTCAAAGAACCTTTTTTGCTTATGGTTGGATTTTAACCCTTTGTAAAAATCCTAGTCAACAAATTGTCCCCCAAAATGTCATTTTCGACGGAAAGAACAGAAATAGACATTTTAATCCTTTTCTCTTAGTGTGAAGTGACGTCATTGTAATCATGACATTTTTCCTCAAATGTTTAATCAACGATCACACAACCACTTCTCTATTTTCTAGTTTTAACTTCCTAGGATAATTGCGGCCTCCAACTTACTAACTTCTTCAACCAGTTGCCATCTGTTTGACACGTATCGGCCGTGTAGTCACCGTTTTTTTCACTTTCTCCCTAATGTTTGATCTCCTTGATGGTATAAATACCCCTTTCATCTCTCCAATTTCCTCTTTATGTTTCTTTGCATACTCAAGCTCTTTGTCTTCGTACACCATAGAAACTTTCATTTTCATTTTTACCCAGAAAAACTTTCCATCAACTCCATGGTTCTTCAAGTCAAATCTCTGAACACATTCAAACTCTCCAGACAATTGAACTGGTTTCCAACATGAGTGAGTTCTTCGCTCACGATCAAAACACTTTTTGTCTTAGAACCAACGCCAACACGTAATCTCTAAACTTTTTGCTCACAGCTGTTGCTTCCCTTCATCTGCAACAACACTGCTTACGCTCTATTGGGGCCTATTCCTGATGAGGTTATGGTACCTAAACACTTGGAATGCTGCTTCCCTACTCATAAAACCACCAAACCCGTTATCAACAGAGATTGCCCTATAAAGTTTTCACACATCTACCGCACGTCTAAAGCCTTTCGTTCTGCCCCTGTTGTCAACCAAGATTACATTGCATGGTTGAATAAAGTAGAGAAAGTGAAGGGTGATGTTTGGAAGACTCAAGGATTTTTTGACTTGATTCAGCTTTCTAGGGTTGACTCTAGTTATTGCAATCACATGTTGATTTTCGCACTCTACTTCTGGGAAAGCTCTACAAACACCTTCCATTTTGCAGCAGGGATGCTTACTCCCACCCTGTTTGACATTGTGGCAATCACTGTTCTCCTCCCAACAGATCAAACGTTTCTTACCACTGAAGCAGACGAAAACGTTATTCCTTTTGAAAAGGAAATTGCTGGCTTCACCAAATATATGGAGCGTTTTCACGCCAAAGGTGTCGACACGGTGTCTGATGAAGAACACATTGCCTTCTTGGCCTTGTGGCTTTATGTTGTACCCCAAAATTTTCCCTCTCATTTCTCAAGTAATCTCTAACAAGATCTTCATTGATTCCAGACTACACAAGGTTTGATCAGCTCAAGATACCTTCTTAAGTACAAATGACTTAAATTAGGGTTTGAGTTTGCACAAGGACAAATGGACTTTTAATGCCCCATATGCCTTTGATGGATAATTTTGGATCCTCAAGATTTCTTATGTCAAGTTTCAAGTCTTGGATCACATTTTTGCTCAATCAATTGATCAATTGACCTAAAATCAACTATATTGGGGAAAAAGTCAACTGGGGTCAATTTACAGTTAAACTTCATATTTTTTATCCATATCAACATCATGAACTCATATATGTCATTTGATCAAGTTTGGATCATAATTCCTCAAGAAATTTGATCAAATCACCAAAAGGGCAAAATGGTCAAAATTAGGGTTTTGACTGAGAAAGTGGAATTTTTTATTTTTGACCAAGCAAATGACTTAATGGTTTGAGACATGATCTCAAGGATTCAAATGCATAATTTTGACCTAATTGCATGTCTCAAAACATCTCTCAAGATTAATTGATTGACAGATGAATTTCAGTCAACTGATGAAAAGTCAATTGTACACTGAAAAGTCAAACTTTGACTTTTTGATCAAAATCAGGTTTCAAAGATCAAAACTCATCAAGACATGTTAAAATATGAAATTTTTTCATCAAGAAATCAAAAAGTCAAGATTTCATTTTGAAAAGTCGAAATTTCCAAGACTTAGAATTTTTCTGAGTGTTGAAAATTCATGTTTTTTTCATAACTTCGAGCCGAATTTCCACCATGATGCAAGATGATTCAAAGGAAACTTCCAACATGAAAGTTGTAGATCTTAATGAGATCTAAAACATTTTAGATCATAACTTTTTCTATAAATGATTGGATTTCAAGTTATGATTTTGTAAAGACATGCTCATGAAACTTGAAGACTTAGTGAAATTTTGCCCTAGTTTAGGCAGGATTTTGACCTAACTTCATGGAAATTTTCACATAGTTCCAAGATGAATATTTAAAAATGTCCAACATAGAGATTGTATAGGATGTTACAAGCTTTCTAAAATGTCCAAGAACTCATTAAGATCATGCTTGAGCTAAGAGAATCAAAGGCAAGAAGTTAGAGTTTCAAACTTGAATTACAAGTCATTTCTTGATGAATACATCATCCAATCTCAATGTTAGGCTGCATAATCTTGCTTTGCAAGCCTTCTAACTTGTGTATCTATCCACCATTAATGGATTACACAATCTTTTGAGCTATAATCCAAGTGGTTTAAGCATGGTCCAATTTAATTTGCCATTTTGGGAAGAAAGTTAACAATGCCATTCTTGAAAAGCAAGATTTATGCACAAAGTCAATTCTTGAGCCTTTCACTTGTTCCCTCTGACCACACTCCATCTACAAAGTCAGAAGCAAGTTTTTTTAAAGCATAACCACTCTACAATAGCAAGTATAAAGGACATTGAAACTTGATTTCTCAATAAAATCACATGTTGAGCTTAAACATGTGATTTTGAATTCTGATCAAATACAAGTGTCCAAACTTGTTGCTTATAAATAGAGGCCTTATTTGCAAGCTAACACACGAGCTTAAGCACCCTGAAACTCTCTCAAACACTTGCAAGCCAGAAATTGTCCAAAAACTCCATTGATGCATAGATTCTGACTTTGAATTTGCAACTCACAATTCCCTCGTGCGTTTTCCTTCCTAATAAATCACAAAGCTCCTACACATCAGATATAGTCCATCCCTGTCCCTGTTTCATAACTGTAACTCCATTTCGATCATCCTCCATAACCAAAACAGAGCAATGCAAGTTGACTTCTCCAAGCCATTTCATCCATCAATTGCTCAAGCTAATCATTGCATTAGCTTCTTGGGAACTTGAGGAAGCTAACCTGATCATTGCAGCACCTTGAATCAAGCTCATTTGCATTTCACGATTTCCAGTTTTGAGGTATCTTTTCTTAACTTCTATCTTTTCATTTAGGCATTGTTAAGCTTGCATTTATGAAGATAAAATATAGATATCATTGCCCTAAAAATGTACATGTCCATAGATTTCATTTATATTGATTGAGATTAGAGAATTTTAGGTTTGAATCTCTGAAAAAAGTTAGATCAGAATTTGGTACTTTTATAAATTCTCATTCATCTTTGATTTATAGCTTATGATATTTATATGGTTGGATTCGTATGGAAAAATAGAGCAATTTTCATGTTTGCATCTTTCATTTTTGTTGAGAAATGAGCAAGTTACAGGAACCGTGGCTAGAGGTTGAAGATGAAGTCATTTTCAGGACTTGACTTATGTTATGTATTTATTATTTTGTTTATGTTACCGGATGTACAACCACTCTAGTGGCAAAGATAGCGTGCGTGTATGGTAAGGGTCATGGGTTCAAGTCCCAGCGCTACCTTTTGTTCATTTGTTCACATTTTTCTCTTTTTTGTCACAAACAACAGCGCATAGGCCTCCAAGCAGTGGGCCTTGTATTTTTGTTGACTTCTCACCCTTGCCTTCACTTTCACACACCTGGCCCAAACATTATTTCATTTTATTTATTTTCTTTTTCTTATTTTATTTTATTTATTGTTTTTTATTACTATTAATATTATTATTATTATTTTTATTAATAAAAAATCCAAAATATTTTTATTTATTATTTAAACACTTATTTATTTTATTTTCTTATAAAACAAAAAGAACAAAAATATTTTCTTAAAAAATTAATTTCTTTTTCTTGATAAATTAATAATTAGATTTATGTTTTGTTATTTTGTTTTTCTTAATTAAAATTAACTTAAAACTTAAGTTTATTTTAATTAATTAATTTCCATATCATTTCTATTAAATTTAAAATCCTTTCATAAAAAAGCCCCAAAAATGTTTCAAACTTAATTTATTTTCTTAATTAGTTTAAGTTTAATTTTATTTAATTTTAATTAATCATTTACT